TTCCGTTCAAAAATGGACAGAAGCATAATTTCCCACCAAAAAAGAAGGGATAGGCAAGGTGATAGACCATGCAGAATTGGCAACGTTAACAGCCAAAATAAGAGAACTTAATGAGGATTGTTTTGTGGAAGAAGGGGAGCCTTTTTTGGACTAAAGAAATCCTATACTACGATGAACAAGCCAGCAAGATTTGGACTATGAGCAGCAGAAGAAATTGGAGATTATAGTAGTGTTGTTGTGGTGGTATAAGAGAGAGAAGATAGGGTGTAGCAGAGGTAGAGAAATGAAAAGACCATGGACGCTGACAAAACAAAAGAAATAAAATTACTATGTGTTGAAATATATGTGTTAAACTATGGACAACTTAATAAAACATAGGATAAAAAGCTGTAGAGCTAAAAAGAAAACAAGATAAATAAATAAAAATCCAGGCCGCCTTGTCTCCCTCCTCCTCCTCCTCTTTCTCTTTCCCCAATTTTCTGGACCCCATCTCCTTGACCTACAAGCAACCCCTTTCTTCTTCGAGGTCTCCTGCCCTGAGGAAGGCACGGCAAAACACACAGAACATCAGCTGCCCCGACTCTGGCATGCTCAAGCCTGTCCTTCCGTTCCAAACTTGCTTGTCACGTCAGCTGAACAACCAGAAGTCTAAATTCCTTCTGGCTTGGCACCCTGGTTGTGCTAAAACGTAAGGAGGAAGGTGGCCGGCCAAAGTTTTCAGCGCTGGGCAAAGGGAGATCCATAAAGCAAAATGTGAAAGGGGAGGCGCAACAGGGGCCCGGGGCCCAGTCCGAGGGCACATGATGCCCCCAGCTTGCCAGGGGCGGGCTGCTCACAAGGCAGAGTGAAACAGTCCCAGCAAAAGAAGAATGGACACAAAAACTTTATGGAATACGCAGAAATGGCGAAACTTGCTGGGAAAATAAGAAATCGAGATAACAAACTTTTTAGAAAAGAGTGGAAACAGTTTATTGAATATTTACAAATAAACAGTAAACAGAAAAGAACATTGGCAGGATTATTGTAATAACCTGCAGCTTTACAAGAGTATGTATTTAAAGTAGATGAATAAATGAATAAACTTAACTTCAAATTAACTTAATTTGGAACATGCAGGAAAATAGATGTAAGGAACCACAGAAAGAGGGGGAAGGAAGCGAGTTTTGAAATGTTAAAATGATGGTAAAATTATTGAAATGTACAAAATTTAAAATCACAAAGAAGAAGAAGGAGGAGGAGGAGGAGGAGGAGGAGAAGAGGCCCGCCTTGGCGGCAGAATCCCATGGGACAGCAGTCCCTGGAGAAATCCCAGAGCTCTGCAAGATTTCGTGAGAGTCTGGCGAGCGGTTGGTGAGATTTTGGAAGTGAGGCTTTGGCAAGGCAGCGGCAGTGGGGAGGCAGCACTGTCCCATTTGGCCTCAGGCGGCAAACCAGGACAGGTCAGCCCCAAAGCTGGGCAGGTCTGGTCTGGTTAGTGTCTGGACGGGAGAATGCTATGCTTCCTTGAGTTCCGTGCTGGCATATAAAGTTGCAGAGTCAATTAAAGGGAGAAATGTAGAGCAGCTGGCTCCAGGCTGGCTCATTAGGCAAAGCAATATGTTGTTTGGGTGCAGGCAGACGCTCACCAGGCAATCTGCGATTGCCTCCCATGGAGACACGGCGTTGCCCCATCTAGCTTGGCAGAGTTTTCCCAAGGGGCGAGGAACTCCTTCCAGCTTCAGGGCCGCATTCCATCCTGGTCAACTTTCCAGGGGCCGCGTGGCAGGGATGGCAGGGGCCAGGTGCAAAAATGGACCAAACAGCTCAGATGACTCTTGCAACGCAGCTACATTTCGGCCACACAAAAACCAGGGTTTTCAAATCACACCCATATAGACGTCCGTCCTCCATCCAAATAATAATAATAATAATAATAATAATAATAATTGTATTTTTTATACCCCGCCCATCTGGCTGGGTTTCCCCAGCCACTCTGGGCAGCTTCCAACAGAATATTAAAAACATGATAAAACATCAAACATTAAAAACTTCCTTAAGCAGGGCTGCCTTCAGATGTCTTCTAAAAGTCTGGTAGTTGTTTGTTTCCTTGACATCTGATGGGAGGGCATTCCACAGGGAGGGTGCCACCACTGAGAAGGCCCTCTGCCTGGTTCCCTGTAACCTCACTTCTTGCAGGGAGAGAACCACCAGAAGGCCCTCGGCGCTGGACCTCAGTGTCCGGGCTGAAAGATGGGGGTTGAGACGCTCCTTCAGGTATCCTGGGCAGAGGCCATTTAGGGCAGAGGCCATTTAGGTCAGCACCAACACTTCAAATTGTGCTCGGAAACATTCTGGGAGCCAATGTAGGTCTTTCAAGACTGGTGTTATGTGGTCTCAGCGGCCGCTCCCAGTCACCAGTCTAGCTGCCGCATTCTGCATTAATTGCAGTTTCCTGGTCACCTTCAAAGGTAGCCCCACTGTAGAGCGCATTGCAGTAGTCCAAGCAGGAGATAACCAGAGCATGCACCACTCTGGCAAGACAGTCTGTGGGCAGGGAGGGTCTCAGCCTGCGAACCAGATGGGTCACCCAAAACAGTACTTCTGTCTTGTCAGGATTCAACCTCAATCTGTTAGCTGCCATCAACTGCCTCCCAAGGCATGATGGAGAACAGCAACAACCAGGAAAAGATAGACATAATATTTTACAAGGACAGGAAGAAACATCATGGACAGAATAATTGCCACACACAGGAAGAACAAGAATATAGTTTGAATGCTTCACCTGTAGCTTTATAAATCATCTAATGTGTCAATATGGACGGAAGTCATTAATATTGCAGTTGTTGTATAAGGGATTGCTCTTTTGACTGGAGTGTAATTGAAATTAATAAGATTTTGGAAAGCAGAAATGAAGAAATGAAGATGGATCCCGCTAGCTGTCCTGGCTTCATTTTTAGCCTCGGGGCTGGGGGTCCGGGAGCGAAAGCGAGGTTCTGCAACCTCGCCATCGCTCCCGGAGCTTGCGGGACTGGGGGCGGGGGAAGCCCAAGCTTCCCCCGACCCCAGCCCCCAGAACGGGTCCGAGAGCGATGGCGAAGTTGCGCGCAACCTCGCCATCGCTCCAGGAGCTTGCCGGGCTGGGGGGATAGCTTCCTGAAGCCTGGAGAGCGAGAGGGGTCGGTGCGCACCGACCCCTCTCACTCTCCAGGCTTCAGCGAAAGCCTGCATTCACCCCATAGGACGCACACACATTTCCCCTTCATTTTTGGAGGGGGAAAAGTGCGTCCTATAGGGCGAAAAATACGGCAAATCATCAAGCCATCAATTCTAGCATGAGGGGGGACAGGACACCTAAATTATATAACTTGGCATCTGAATGATTGGCATTATCAATTGTACTCTAATTTGGCATTGTTATAATGAGGCTATTATTGAATTATTGTAACTGAAAACTAATAAAAATTATATATATATTGCTCGCTGGAAAACGCTCCCCTTAGCCGTTAACACAAGCCTGCCAGGAAGAAGCATTGCAGATGCGTAAAGCTTGACTAAGGTTGTTGACAAACTGGGGATGGTTTGAGGACCCTGCAAAGATTAAGGGGTTGGGATGTTTTCCTGCAGTCAAGGCCTTCCCAAGCTGGCAATTATGGGCTGCTCTAGCATGCAGCTCAGCGAGGCGTTCAGAAATTGGCACCAGACAGTTTGCAAGCCCAGATCCCAGAGACGTTTCTTCCAGATCCTTCCCAGAAGAGAAATTTAATTTGGATACCCTGCATTACGAGCTCAGAGCTTGCCATCAGCACTGTGCTGGAGCAGAATGGCTGTCAGGCAGGCCAAAGTTGCCTTTCATCGCAGTTCAGGATGCCCAGGGGATTTTTTCTGGCAGATGGCGATTAGGAATGGGCAAATCTGTCCATTTCAGTTTCCTTTCTGTTCTCAGTTCTCCAACTCAGTTCACCTGATTTCCACATCAGTTTGTGATTGATTTATTTTTTAAAGACAGCACAATTTGTATGCATTTTGGTATACCTTCCCACCCTTAAATTTCACTACACAGTGGTGTGGGGGGTTTTTTGCCAGAGTTTCCCTCTTATACAATAAATTTTCACATGCTATTTTCACTAATATACACATTTCACACAGACTTTCCCCTAACGTACACATTTTTGCATGCATTTTCTGGGTCGCAAATTGCATCACAAAATTCAAATTCAACATTCAATTGCAAAATGTGTTTTGTATTGTTAACGGCACTGCGAATCTGGTAGGTTTGCATTGAGAGACGGACTGAACCCCATGTTGGCCTGTGAGTCAGACCTTGCCTGCCTGAAGTGACTAACAGCATTTGCATCTGTTAACAACATTGTTTTATCCCAGTAGCTGCAAAGAAACTGTGTTTTTGTTCTGACGCACCACCTGGGTGACCGCATGCTCCAACAGCAATGGAATTCACCCTAGCAAAATAGATCAAGAGGCCTGTTTTGTGTTTCTTAAAATAGGTGCATGGGATCCAGTCATAACCCACTCTTAATGCAATGCCTTGCAGCTATGGACCGGAAGGTCTGTGGGCAAAATCCAGACTCCTGCAGAGTGCCAATTCTCTCCCTTCCACATTGGAAAAATTCAAAGGAAGAGAACTCCATGGCTTGTCTTGTGATTGTGGCAGTGGGGCTTTCTGAGTGTCCAACCTGGGAGGGCCCCTGACCCATCACCCTCCATAACATGAGACCCCCGTACACCTAGTCACTGACTGTCCAACCTGTTCATTTAAATAAACTTTCAGTTAAAAAATACTTTATTCATAGTATTAAATCTCAAAAAATGTGTCCTTTTGAGAATTCAGAAAGCTTGAGATCATCTTAATGCATGACAGATCAACCTTTAGGTTCCCATTCCATGAACTTTGGGAATGTGACATTATTCGTTACATTTCTTTCTTTCTTTCTTTCTTTCTTTCTTTCTTTCTTTCTTTTATAATCCCACCCTTTCCCCTATGGAGCTCAAGGTGGTTCTCTCCCTCCTCATTAGCTCAGTCGGTAGAGCACCAGACTCATAATCACAAGGTCGTGGGTTCGAACCCTGTGCTGGGCCGAAGATTCCATGGGGCTACATTAAAAGCTTTTTGCAGCTTGATAATTAAATGTTGATCGTTCTCTACTCTACTCAGATATTAATACTGCACAGTTTGAAGGGACAGGATGCATGAAAACGGAGTCCTTTTGGAATAAAAACGTAATCAAGGCCAGTAAGTTAAATTCAGACTTTCGCTTGCAGAACTTTCTTCAGCAATATCACAAGAGCATCGAAGAGACATCCAAACACTTCATGATATCTTGAACATATCATGGAATCGAGCCCCACACTGAACTGGTTTCACGGTGCTATTTTGTCGTTCTTCTATCTGAACTGCCTCGGCGTTCCCTTTTATTTCTTTCCAATGAAAGCTGGTAGGTATGCAAGCAACACCACAAACTCATTCTTGCTCAACCGGTAGAGCATGAGACGCTTAGTCTCAGGTTTGTGTGTTCGAGCCCCACTTGGGCAAAAGATTCCTGCATTGCAGGGGGGTTGGACTAGATGACCCTCAGGGTCCCTTCCAACTCTACGTTTCTATTTAATCATCCAACAATCCTGTGAGGCAGGTTCGGTTGAGGGGCAGGGACTGGCCCAGGGAGAGCTTCATGGCTGAGTTGGAATTCGAACCTTGGCCTCCCAGGTTTTAGCCCACCACTCTAACCACTGAACCACCATTGGCTCTATAACTTACTATAACCTCCGGGCTGGTAAAGAGAGCCTTAACCAACTTTGAGTCCTCCAGATATTTGGACTACAACTCTCATCAGTCCTAGCCAGGCTGTATACCTGAGTCAAAATGGGCTTCCAAGATATCTGACCTCTTCCATCACTATAGAAGATACCCAACATTGACTTTCAAAGAGATTAAATTTGGAACCTTACGCTACGTCATCATCATCATTATAATTTACCTATTAAATTTGTATTCCGCCCTTCATCCGAAGATCACAGGGCGGTTCACAACATAAAAATATAAAATGAGAACGCAAATTTAGGAGCAAATTTAAATCTTCAGTTTGAGCTTTGTGCCCCAATCCCACTCAAACAGCCGTTGAAAATATTGCTTAGATGTAACCAGTCAGAAGCAGAAGGGGACATGCATTTTCTGGGCACCAGCAGCACCCAGAAAACACAGCAATGCGGAACATCTGCCTGCACAAACAAGGCATTGCAAATATGAAAGAAAAGGCATCTGGTTCCTAGTGAATGTCTAGTTTGCAGCTGTGGTTCCTAGCCCAGTAAACGAGCCAGGAACCAGGCCACTCATCAAATTAATTGCACAGACAACTCATTGGAAGCTTGCAGCCTTACTACCTCGGACGATTTGCAAACCCTGCTTTTCCCCCAAAGGCAATCACTAATTCAGAATAAGTTTTAAAAGGGCAAAAAAAAAATCTGAATGGGCACACCAAATTGAGTTATGAAATAAATTTTACATTTCCCTAACTGACCCTTCATGCCAGCTTTGTCCCCTGCTGTCAGTGAAGTTGCTTGATTTGGATTCCTGGGTTACCAGAGAATTGTAGAGTTGGGACACCTGAGGGTCATCTAGGCCAACCCCCTGCAAGGCAGGGATCTCAGATAAAGCATCCATGACAGAGGGCCACCCAACCTCCATGGAAGGAGACCCGACCACCTTCTGAGGGGCGTTTGCTCCACTGTCGAATAGCTCTAACCACCAGAAAGTTCTGCCTCGTGTTTATGTCATCAGATTTGAAGGAAATGCACCTCTCATCTTTACGGGATGCGAACAAGGCACTGCGCGCGAGAACCTCCAGCCTGCTTGCTTTCCAAAACAAAGCCCTGAAATCGTTCCCTACCTGGCGCCAGAGCAGTTTAGGTGCCGGGTCCTCGCTGCCGCTCCATGCTTAATCCCAGACCGCCAGTTGAGTGAGATGGAGAGCCATGGCCACCAAGAGAGAAGCTCTTCAGATGTCCCTCAGGGGACAACGTCCTCTCGACTCGGCCGCCTGAGAGGTGGTTGGTAGGACAGAAACGGCCGAGAAGACAGAGGTGTCAGAAGACGCCCACTCCGGCCTCTGCTGCTAGCAAAGGCAAGGGTGTTACTCACTGGGAATTACTGTACTATTAAGAGACCTACCCTGATTTGGATGGCTTCCAAAACATCGCTAGACATGTCCTTACCTGCTGTGAAGGAGGCAGCTCTGAAGCATAGAAGATGGGGGATGGGGAGGAATCTGAAGTTGGTTGGTTTTGGAGGTGAGGCTCAAGGCAAGGGAGCCTGGAAGCTTCCCTATTTGAAATGGGGAGTGTGTGTGTGGATGTAGGGGGGAACGGAGCCAATATGTTAACATGGGCTGCATACCTGACCCAACATGAGCACAGGGATGCGGGGAGCCTGTTACGGGCTTGGCTTCCCGCAGTGCAGATCGGCCTCAAATCAAGCTGCGACTCGCTTTCCCCAGAGACGTTAAGGAGCAGCTGGGATTAAGGAGCCGAGGAGGAATGTGGTTTGCTTGGTCCTGATGAGCCTCATACTGTACAGAGGCAGAGTCGCACGATGACAGATGGATAATCGCAGCCCCTTCATGTCTAATACCCCGGGATCGCGTGCTCAATCCGAACCCCGCTTGCAAGGAGATTGAGAACCGCAAAAGTCACCCTAAGCAGTCATTTGCTTGCTAATTTCTCTAGCATTAAGCAATTAGATTTCCAGAGCCACCGACTTAACATCTGCCTCTGGAGACCTCCTTGTAGGGTTTCCAAAAGCAGGGAATGAAGTTTCAAGGAAAGGTTTTGCAGAAGCATGTCAAGCTTATAGCATGCTCTTCTTTTTTTCAAAAAAAAAAACCTAGCTGGTTTTTCCTCACCTGTGCACTGTGGGAACAGCTTTCCCATGAAATAGTCACTATTTGCTTCTCTGATTACTGTAAAATGGGAGCAATCGTCCCTTCAAAGATGCAAAAACTAAGATGATAAAACACATTGGAAATTAGAAATGTTTTTCCTTTTTTTTTTAAACCATGGAGGTAAGGCCTCCAAAACGGTGAGGTTAAATGCATCTTTGCCAAATGCAAATTGCATCCCTGGGGGGGAGGGTGTCCATCTAATATCAGGAATGCAGAAAGAGCGGGGAGGGGCAGTTTAACCCCTTGCTCCCCTGCTGCGCTCCGGGTGAAAAGGGAATAGCTTCTCTGAAGGCTCTGTTTGCGCCAAGAGGAAATCCTGCGTTTTGCTTAAGAGCAGGATCAGTCCTGAGTCAGGCTGCTCTTTCCTAACCTCGTTCTCCCGAACTGTGAAATGTGGGGTAAGTACCTTGGCCTACCTTACAGGTTTGTTGCGAAATAATGTATGTGACGAAACACCTTGGATCGTATCCAACAGCACGTCCTTCCTTTGTGACGACTCCTTTGATCCAGAGGAGGCTCCTGTCACTAGAAGGGAAGGGAGGTAATCCTTGCCGGTTCCTCTTCTCGCCCCCTCACTGCATCCAGCACGCCCCCTCCCTCCCAAAAAATCTGCTTTGGTGGGCTTGGGACCCTGGAGAAGTGTGAGGGAGGAGAAATCAGAAAAACATGCTTCCTCCCCATTCTGCTGCTATATGTTTTTTTTTCTGGACTGAACAGGACTTGAACACTCCAAAGGAGTGTACTACAACTCCCATCACCCTTGGCTCTTGACCAGGCTGAGTGGGGCTGGTGGGATTTGGAGTTGAATGATGCCTGGAAGGTACCTGCTTCCCCATCCTTGCACTAAACTTAAAAGTGCTGTACAGTGGAGCCTTGGTTCTCGAACTTAATCCATTCCGGGAGTCCCGAAACCGTTCGAAAACCAAGGCGCAGCTTCCGATTGGCTACAGGAGCTTCCTGCACTCAATTGGAAGCCGCGGAAGCCCCACCAGATGTTCGGCTTCCGAAAAACATTTGCAAACCGGAACACTCACTTCCGGGTTTGCGGCGTTTGGGAGCCGATTTGTTTGGGAGCCGTTCAAGTACCGAAGTACAGTCATACCTCAGGCTGAATGTGCTTCGGGATGAGCGCGTTTGAGTTGTACTCCGCTGCAACCTGGAAGTAACAGAGCGTGTTACTTCCGGGTTTCGCCGCTTGCGCATGCGCAGACGCTCAAAATGACGTCACGCACATGCGCAGAAGCAGCAGACGCGCAGACACGGGTTACGTTTGCTTCTAGATGCGAACAGGGCTCCGGAACAGATCCCGTTCACATCTAGAGGTACCACTGTACAGCTGTACTTTGAGAGCTGTTATGAGTATTTCTGCGACACCCCACTGCACAGATGTGATTCCGCCTCTGGGAACGATCAGGAAACGATGGTGTTTTGATGGTGCCTTTCAAAAGCACCCCATGCCCTGATCCTTCGGGAGATATGGTGAGTGTCACAATAAAAATCATGCACAGCCAAATAAACAAAACTGACTTGCCACCAAACTGTTTTCTTCACCTTTTTTTTTGGCGGAAATGACTGGCAGAATCCGAGACCAGGGAGAAGAGTCGGTGGAAGAAGATTGGAAGAAATTCAAAGATTATCTACAGAAATACTGTAAAATTAATGAATGTTAGAATGATGTTCGATAAAAACTAAGTGGCTCTAAGCTGAAATGCTACAAGGGAAGATGAAAAAAGGGTTTACTATGTAGTATGTAAAAATCTAAAAGTACAATATCTTTATGATTATTGATTAGGATATTTAAAAGAGGGGAGGGAACTGCTGAACAGAATATGCGAACTGGAATACAAAAAAGGGAGGTGTGAGGAGGTCAAGGAAACAAGTAAATGAAGGATAAGACATAGAAAGACTAATTTGTTTGTTTAACTGGTTTTATTTTGTACTCTGTATTTTTCCATTTTTACATCTTTTTTCTTTTTTTATCTGCTTTTCTTTTTCTTTTTTCGCTTATTTTTGTAACATGTTGAAATTTTAATAAATATCTTTAAACAAACAAACAAACAAACAAACAAACTGTTTTCTTCACCTTTTGGAGGAGAAAGAGGTGTCCAAGGCACAGACTGCCCAAGGCCTCTCCCCGGTGTTTTGGCAAAGGGCACCGTTACTAAAATGTTTGTTTCCATTACCCTCTACCTCCCCCCCCCCAAGTCTTAATTGTTGGTGTTGACCTTTAAAGCCCTAAACGGCCTCGGCCCAGTATACCTGAAGGAGCGTCTCCACCCCCATCGTTCTGCCCGGACACTGAGGTCCAGCGCCGAGGGCCTTCTGGCGGTTCCCTCACTACGAGAAGCCAAGCTACAGGGAACCAGGCAGAGGGCCTTCTCGGTGGTGGCGCCCACCCTGTGGAACACCCTCTCATCAGATGTCAAAGAGATAAACAACTACCTGACATTTAGAAGACATCTGAAGGCAGCCCTGTTCAGGGAGCTTTTTAATGTGTGATATTTTAATGCATTTTTAACCTTCGTTGGAAGCCCCCCAGAGTGACTGGGGAAACCCAGCCAGATGGGCAGGGTACAAATAATAAATTATTATTATTATTAA